AAAAAAAAAAGCAAAGATAGGAAAATAAGCAAACCACATAAAATCGGAACAAAGGGAACAAAAGGTTGGCTGTCGAAAAAATGTTGCAACAAATTGATGTCCACGTATTTCATGCACTCGTGCATGCTTAATAGCACCACGACGACGTTGTAAACCGTGACCTTGAAGGGAACCACCGCTTGATTTAAGTTCCATTGGATGATCGTTTAGTTTTGCTGAAAGAAAATAAAAAAAAAAATTAAAAATAAAGGAATGACATGAATTGTTTACAAATGCATTGTGAATAAATATAAAACTACCTGTTAGTAAACAAACGTCAATTATTCAAATAATTTATTATTACAATTAAATTTTTCATTTGAAAGAAAGAAAAAAAAGTGATTGAAAATAAATATTCCAGGTAATTATTTACCTTGAAATTGGTTAAATAATTGCAACAACAACAACTAATACAAAAAGAAAAATTCAATTTTTCATTTTCAAAATAAGTAAAACATTTAAATTGGTAAATAAACCAATCAAGATTTCACTTACAATAAAAATACCATAGTTTGAAAGAAAAGCCAAAAAAAAGGAAAAAAAAAACAATGTCTAAGTTTTTTTTTTCTTTTTCAAATCAAAGAAATACAATAGATATTCAAATTGGTGAGAAAAAAATTAAGACATTGAAATTCTCCTTTCCTTTAAAAAAGAAAAATTTTTAATTATACATTTAAACAACGAAAAGGATGAGAAATTATCAGTCCAAAATGAATTAGAATTTCAAAATTGGATAAAATAAAAATTTCGGCCAATGTTGAAGTATTTTTAAATTTTGGCTTTAAAAACATCTTATTTCAGCTTTTTGCTAATAATTGAAAGAGCCATTTTTAAATAAAAGTAGGAGGGAAATCAACAATAAGACTGAAACTATTAAATTTATGGGAAGAGTTAACAGCAGCAGTGAGCTTAATTAATCGAATTTTATGCTTCTCGAATCTTGGTTAATCGATCTATCAATTGGATAGAATAGCTCTATTAAATTGAACAAATTGAAAATGTTTGATTGAAATTGAAACAATATTTACTTCCTCAGACTATTTTCAAAAAAAAAATTCTCCATTTCTATCACATTAAATTAAAAAATTCAATTTCAATTATTGAATTTATCAAATGTATAATAATATACTAAATTAAAGATTTTTTATTTCAGCTGTTCAATTAGTAGAATGTGTAACATTACAGCATTTCAAATTTATTACTATCAAACTGATAAATTAATAAGTTTCTACTTCAAATTCCAGAATTGATTACTATCAAATATATTAATTAAATAATCAGTAGTATAAATGAAAGAAAGAATTGAATATATCAATAAATTCAATCAAAAGTAATCTCGATTGTAATATCCTAAATGTTGGCCTAAAATGATATTTGACATTTCTTGTAATTTTATCTTCTATTTTATCCTTTTTTTTTTGATTGGACATAGTAAAGAGAAGTTAGTCAAAAAATTTTTTGAAATATTGAGTATAATTTAAGAATATTTTCAAATTTTCAATTATTAATTATTTAGAAATAACTTTATGGCTAATTATCTGTATAAATCTGTTTGTAATCACGGGAATGTAATAATTTGTTTTTTCTTCAAGAAAAGCGAGAAAATAAGATTGTAAAAAAAGCAGAAAATGAGAAGTCGGAAAGTCTTTGAAGTGATAGAGAGGGAGAGAGAGCGGGAGAGAAGAGTGAGAGAGGGAGGGAGAAGAGGAGAAGAAAGTAAAATGGAAGTGAGAAATGAAAGGATGAGAAAAATAAACGCTTCAAAATTATATTTTTTAAAATTAATTTGCAAACTAATTGTAAATGGATGATTTTAATTTAAAATTTTTTCATGCTTCATAATCTATGAATATTTTGTGGGCCATTCAATTAATCGATATATAGAGAGGAAAAATATTTTGAAATGTAAAAAAAAATTTTTTAAATTTACGCTCTAACCCTTTTATAAGCATTAATTAATAACTATAATTAAATATTACAAATGATTGCATCACTTG